TCATATCTGTGTTACTTGGAAAGGAAACTTCCTGGGAACTGAGAATTCTTCCTACTGAAGAATCTGAAGGAGTACTTCCTGCATCAGACCCTAACTTCTGCTTCAGTAACAATATCGCAAGGAGAAAGCTATTTTACCTTGATCAGAAGCCTTTCAAGAAAAGAGAATCCACCCCTAGGTGACTTTTTCCTCAATTCTAAAATCTCCCCTCTTGTACTAATTACCTTCAACTAGAAAAATTATTATTCCCAGATTTTATATAATACCACCAATGTGGAAGAGGTCAAGATTTCAGTCTTATGACTGCTGAAAGATGAGCTGAGTCCATTATCTAATGGAAAAGATAAAAGTATAGCATGTATATTTATTTTTAGAGTGTAAAAACTTTTCAGTTCACATTTCAGAGCTTTTTTCCACATCCAAAAACAACAGGAGGAAATGAGAACTGCTCTTCTCAGCATTCTGCAAAAGCCAACGAAAAAAAAGCCATTAGGAGATGGAACAGTATCGCCAGAAACAGCTGTTTTACAAGCCAATAGATCAATGGACTTAACAAATCAGAAGGCCCTGTGTGCCAGCATTTTCTTTATGCAATTCCCCACTGCTTTGAATCCGAATAAAAAGACTGAAATCCTGTCTGTTGTGAATTCAATAGGGCAAGGATTTCTCCCTAAGAAGAGGTTTTTAGATAGCAAGCCGAGGAGGGCTTACTGTATAGAACAAAAGCCGTCTATTTTGCCTTTTGGAAAAGGATGAAGAAATTGTGCATAGTAGGTTACCTAGGACCTGACTTGGATGCTCAATGGGAATGACACTTACCGAACAGTACTCATTATCTATTGATTCTTTAGCACTGAGTCCAGTTCATGAACCCACTTTTCTCCCTCTATATAAATACTTATATAATACCAAATGACAACCCAAATAACTCTTTTCCTGTGTATGAAATATTTTAGATTGTAGATTGCATATAGAAAAAGTCTTAGATTGCAAATGGAAAAGTAAACATTTTATGTTCTCTCTTTCTTTGCTTTTACAAAGGTGCAGACCTACAGACCTTACTTGAAGTTTGTGTTTCTACTACGTAGTATGTAATGAAAATGAAACATTTGAGCCCAGGGATAATTGCTTTGCATATTTTTGAGAGAGAAAAATCCAATAAAATTAAAGATATTAAGGACTAAGACCTAGATTTAAGAAGCTACTTAAACAGGTATTTAATTTAAAAGACAGGACTAATTTTTTTTTTTTTCAGACAGACATGGACTTTTTTTTTTCTTTTTTTAATCTGAAGAGTCTCATATAATCACCCAACTACTGCCTGCAGCCGGGAAAGCCTGAATATTTAAAGACTTAGTAACACTTCTGGAGTCAGGCATATAATTAAGAATATTTCCAAAGCAGAGTTTGCTACCATAAAGATTGCTGTGAATTTCCTTCAATATACAAAAACGGCTCTGAATTTGGGTCTGTATCCTGTGTTGGGATAACACAGGACAATGCTATAATTAATGTACCAATGTAATATTTGCAAGACTTCCTGTCTCCCTCCAAATTCATAATCCAAACAAGAAAAAAAAAGACAAGTGCAATGTGCCATCAGATGTAATTTGTGATGGCATCCAACATATGAGTGGCAGAGCAGAACTAGGACTCAGCTCTCTGGCCCCCAGTCAAGTCCTCTATCCTCTGCACCAAATGATCCCCCTGATAAATGTTATGGCTAGGATCAGCTGTCTTGAGAGAAAGCAAAATCCTTGCTGAATTTATAGTAATGTTATTTCATTCCCACTTAACAACAAAAAACCTGCTTTTTTAGGACTTTGAAATGCAAAGGTAAAGCTTTGCTCTAGGGCTGCACCATGATGAGAGAGGAGACAGAAATCGCTACTCACAACCCAGAGGAGTTGGCTCACAAACAGTTTGAAAGAAATACATACGACTTGAGGCACAAGCAGTGTTATTAAGCAGAAGTGGTACTTGAAATTGGGAATCTTTAAGAGGTTGTGGTTTTCTTTGTCTAAAATGTTGTTTGGCATTCTTGTCTGAACACTCAGCTAATGCGTTAGGTAATCCTCGGGCATAATAGCAAGATTTAGGGAAAGGACAAAGTGTGACAGCTAAATCTTTGAATTCTTTTGCCTTCAGAGAGTAGTATCAACTCTTAAATGTTACTTGAGAATTGTTTCTGACACTGAGTTAATACACAGATGGTCCGAGTGCAGGACTGATCCTCTGCCATCCTGGCACACTGCTAGCACTGCAAAGCTCTTTGCATGTGTTTGTAGATGAGGCTGCTGTGAACAGCCAGAGCTTTTAAAGGTAGGAGCTCTTTCTCCTGGCTCCTCTGGATGGAGAACTCACTGGGGCATACAGAGAGGTCACCCATGGAGGCTACACTGTGAAAAAACTCAGAGCCTGAATCTGAACTCCTGGGAATAACTCTGCTGACTAAGCTGGAGTTAAACAGGCAGGGAAACCACTATTTGCTGAACACGTTTCCTATTGGTGCTGTTATCAGTACCACCTGAGTTAATTATAGCATGTATGTTACGGTGTTTACCAAGCACTATCAACTCTGCCAAGAAACCTTAACTAAGGAGCACGATATGGTACAGTCTTCCAGTGCCAATAACTCAGTATCAGCCTATGTGAGAAGATAAAACTTCCCAGTCCAACAAGATTCACTTGGATCATCCTAGAGGATAAGCTCAACTGCACACTGGAGGAAAAAAAAATCCCGCTTTAAAGTTGGAGAGTGAAATAACTTGGAATGACAGTGAATTATTTCCATGTGCTAAAATGTCACCACTAGGAGCCTTGTGTCTTGGGTCCTTGCACAGTTTTGGGATCTGCTAACACAGAGTCCCCTCACAGCAGATGCTAACGTGTGCTAAGGGCTTCGTGCAAGCAGTGTTAAGAACCGATGCCTGAACCAACACTTGAATGCAGGTGTGCCTCCATGCTGCTTCAATGCGAAATAAGACAACTCAGCTCCATCTGTCATTAATTTGGGTAACAGTGTGTAGAAAACCTGAGAAGAAACTAAAAAGCAATGCAGGAAGTTCATTTAACTTGGAGCAAAGGCACAGTAATGCAGCACTCCGGGGGCTAAATTCTCCACAGTGTTCTGGCATTAGCATCAATGACAATAAGGAAACTGTTCAGCA